CAGTGACAAAATTAGAAGAAAGAAAGAGGAATGAACTAGCAGAAATGGGGATACAAATAGCAAACCCTAGAAGGGTTGTACTCGCTATAGAGCACCCCACTACAGGCTAGAACATAAGAATAATATTCTGACACACCCCCATAGCCAAAGTGGGGTGTAATCAGCAGAGCAGGCAAAACAGTACAAGCTCAGGGTGGATCACAATGTCACCACGCATTCTGAGCACAAGGTCAAGAAGAAATAGTTCAAAGTTAACAATTATAAGCAAAGCTAGTGGTAGTCACAACGGGCAAGTGAGGAGGAGGAGGGAGAGTGAGGGGAGAGGAGACAGGAGACGACGGCTGAAGCTGCAGACACACGGGCAACAGGAGGCAGACTGGCACAGCGGCTACCGGACAGCGCCCGGACTACAGGAGTAACAGGCCCCGCGGCTCAAATAGCGGCGGACGGGCAACGGACCCACGGGCGGCTGGCACAGCTGGCTACGACTGGGCTACCGGGACAGCGCCCCGGACTACAGGTGCTGCTGACGACAAACTGGCAACCTCCGCTCATCCTCCCGCACACAGTCCCACCCCCTTGATACACACCCATTGCTACACCACTAGCTCTACTCCCACGCACCCCCCTAAAACCCTAAACCCAGTCTCCCACACAACCACCCCCCTCAGCGACAGCTGCAGCAGTGGGAGACGAAGGAGGAGGAGGAGCAAAGGGAGGAAAGTACACTGGCCACCCCCATACCTCCCACCCCACAGCGCGCCCCTCCCGTCGTCCGTCGAGGCGACCTGAGGGGGCCGCAAGCGGCCCCCTCAGGTCGCCTCGACGGACGACGGGAATTGGGGGGGAGGGGAGAAAAAGGGGGGGGGGGGGGGGGGGGGGGAGGGGAGAAAAAGGGGGGGGGGGGGGGGGGACGGGGCCGGGGCCGCGACGAGGGGCGGGGCCGCGACGGTCGAGGCGGGGCCGCGACATAGGGCGGGGCCGCGACGTAGGGCGGGGCCGCGACATAGGGCGGGGCCGCAACGTTGGGCGGGGCCGCGAAGGTAGGGCGGGGCCGAGCCGGGCAGGCGCACGGGCGGCGACGGGCCAGGGCGGGGCCGCGACGAAGGGCGGGGCCGAGCCGGGCAGGCGCACGGGCGGCGACGGGCCGGGGCGGGGCCGCGACGTAGAGCGGGGCCGCGTCAAGGGGCGGGGCCGCGACGATCGGGGCGGAGCCGCGACGTAGGGGAGAAGCCCGCCGCGCGCCTCGGGGCGCACAGCGGGCAATGAACCGCCGCGCGCCTCGGGGCGCACGGCGGGCAGAAAACCGCCGCGCGCCTCGGGGCGCACGGCGGGAGGAAAAAGTAGCAGCGGAAGCGAGGTGGTAACCCACCCACAGGATCGATCCAAGGGGATCGACCTGCTCTGATAGCATGACAAAATTAGAAGAAAGAAAGAGGAATGAACTAGCAAAAATGGGGATACAAATAGCAAACCCTAGAAGGGTTGTACTCGCTATAGAGCACCCCACTACAGGCTAGAACATAAGAATAATATTCTGACAAGCAGCACCTCCGTGACCTGGACGCAGTGTTTAAGCGGCTGCAGGAGAACCGACTCATCACCAAGGGCTCTAAGTGCGAGTTTTTTAAGCAGGAGTTGGAGTTTTTGGGGCACGTCATCTCGCGCGACGGCATTAAAATCAACCCGGCGAAAATCAAGACCATACAGGAGTGGAAATCCCCGACGAACGTCACGGAGCTCCAGAGTTTCCTCGGATTCGTAAATTACGTCCGGAGGTTTATCCCGAATATGGCAGGGATAACCGGCCCGCTGACCGACCTGCTGCACAAGGACAAGAATTTTGTGTGGGGGGAGGAGGCAGAAGGGGCGTTCCTGGAACTCAAGATTTTTCTCGTATCCCCTCCTGTGCTGCGCATCGCCGACCCATCGAAGTCGTTCGAAGTTGTAACCGACGCCTCAGATTTCGCCATCGGAGCTGTGCTCCTCCAAGATTTCGGGAACGGGCTACAGCCGATAGCCTACGATTCACGCAAGCTGCAGGCAGCCGAACGCAACTACCCGATCCACGACAAGGAGATGTTCGCCATCATACACGCATTTAAACTATGGCGATGCTACCTGGTGGGCGCCGACGTCACTGTTCGCACGGACCACAAATCCCTACAGTACCTGCGAGCCCAACCCAACCTCAACCCACGACAGATTCGATGGCTCGACTACATGGAGAGCCATTTCACCTACCGCATCACGTACAAAAAAGGGGCTAATAACATCGCCGACGCCCTGACCCGACCGACAGTACAATCCGCTGCAGTACTCATCACCCACTCGAACCCGCTACTTACCAGACTATTCACCCACGGCTACACGACAGACCCCTTCTTCACAACGGGAAACCAGCAGCAGACTACGACGCAGAAAGGGGACTATTACCTAAAAGCCGGAACCGACCGGATTTGGGTTCCCGCTCACCGTCTGCTGCGTGAGCTTCTCATCCAGGAGATACATGATTAAAACCTCTCCGGACATTTCGGGGTCGATAAGACACAGAAACTACTGCACCGTCACTATTACTGGCTTGATTCCTCTAACGACGTGCAGCGCTATGTGTCCTCATGCAGGGTGTGCCAAGCAATGAAGTCGACACGTCAGCGACCAGCTGGATTGCTGCAACCCCTCGAGCCACCCGAACGACCGTGGCAACAAGTGACGATGGATTTTGTCACGGGGATGCCAGCTGGGCCGACAGGCAACGACGCTGTTCTTGTCGTCGTCGACCGCTTCACGAAAATGGCGCACTTCGCACCATGCCGAACGACAATCACAGCCGAAGAAACTGCGCGACTTTTCATATCGACGGTTGTGCGACTGCACGGCATCCCTTCAGCGATCATCAGCGACCGCGACCCAAAATTCACATCCAAATTCTGGAAGGAGACATGGGCGCAATACGGCACGAAGCTACAGTTCTCATCGGCTTACCACCCGCAGACCGACGGTCAAACAGAGCGGACCAACCAGACCATGGAGCAGTTAATCAGGACAAACTACCCCGATCCTGCCCGCTGGGAAGACTCGCTCGCAACGCTGGAATTCGCTTTCAACAACGCACCATCCAGCACGACTAATCACTCCCCATTTTTCCTGAATTATGGGATGGACCCGGCGGTTCCGACGACAACTACACTCGACAATCCGGTACCGCGTTCCCAGACTTTCGTGACGGAACTCCAGGAAGTCCGCGAAAAAGCCGCCGACGTAATTCGCAAAGCGAATATTACTTCCCGCAAATACACCAACCTTCTTCGTCGGGAACTCGTCTTGACTACTGGGCAACTAGTCCTTCTCGACACGAAAAACCTGAACCTGCCCGGCCCTGCGAATTTTCGGCCACGATTTTGCGGACCGTTCAAAATCCTCAAGATGGTGACACCTGTCACCGCGAAGCTGTTGCTACCCGACGATAGGCGTATACATGACGCGTTCCACATCAGCCTTCTTCGGAAGTTCGTGTCTACCACGACCGACATCGCACGTCAGCAAGCGGCCCCGACAGCTCGCCCCGTCCCGGAGCCAACACTTGACCCTTCCAAGATTCTCGCTCATCGGGTTCGCCTTGACGCCGCTGGACGCCACGTGGATTTCTTAATTCGCTGGACCGACCGCACCAGTGAGGACGGCACGTGGGTGCTATCCGCTTCAATGGACGCCTTGACACTTGTTGGTGATTATTTGGCGCGACGGCGTGTTTCGGCCATTGACTACCTTTCTTAAGGGGGGGGGGGGGGGGGGGGTGGTGTAAGGAATTTTCCCGAATTCCTTATCGGGGTTGACTGCTTCGCGTACAACCCGATTTTCGGAGTTCGCACGTTCGGCCGATTTCAACGCAGCCGAGGCTCCTCACGTCGCCTTCGGCTTTCCCATCGCCAAACCTGCACCCAACCTCGCTCGTCCGAGGTTTCCTCCTAGCTAGAGTAGTCCTACATTAGTCTGTGCATTCATTGTATTCGCAGTTGATTCAGTCACAGCTTCGTTATTCGTTTACCTGCGCACTCTCTTTTACAACTCACAACAGTTTAGGTTGTGTGTTACCAACTTCGAAGCAGCCAATGAGAGCAAGCTCCAGAGTAAGCTTACCAGATCGTCGAGATCATCGACAGTGCACGCATTCACCGTCGATCAGATCTGAATCCTCCAGAAGCTCCCGCCATGCCTTCCAATCACCTGGCCCCACCCTCAGCCCTCCCATTTCCCGCGACATCTAGCCCTCCAAGCTGGCAGGCCGTGATTTGAACACTGAACCTACCGTCAACTCCCGTGTGCCACCGAAGCCCAATTTCTTACATCCCCGAGTCCTCGCCATCCTTATCGCACCCTGACAAACACCTTTCAACCATTATTCCACACTATTGTATCCTCCCGTACCCCTCGTAGCAATCGATGTCTCCCTCTGCTGAACCCATCACCTTCATCAACATCTTGCTCCCTCTAGTTCCCATGCCCCCACTCCACGCCCCACTTTCACCTGCTTCCTCCCCCACCACCCTCCCCTTTCTCTATCTGTGTTCGTGATGGCATGCGCCCCCCCCTGCATTGTCGCATTTTCACCACCATCTCATCACATCCACATTTCTCAGCCCCCTAGGAGCTGACCAAGCACCTCCCACTTCATTCGTTGGTGCTAAGCTAGGCCTCGCTCCCCTTCGTTCGCCTCCTCAGTAACAAAACCCCCAACTTGTGAGGGCAACGCAACTTGGAAGAATCGTTCTAGAACAGGCGAGCGATGTGGAACGATAACCGATCTGCCTCGCGCAACTCACACACCGTGGCGCGCAGAGCTCTCGCTCGCTAGGACAGAGCTCAAATTTCCTCCTTACATTTTTTTTTTTTTAATTTAACTAACCAGACCTTTGCGTTTCGACCGAGCCTATCTGATCATCCAGCTGCTCTTCTTAGCAGCGGCTTTTGTTCGACTTGCACTTTTCAGCCATTCAGGAATGGCGTCGCATGTAGCCTCGTTAGGACTCCATTTGCACTGCGATCGCTCGTCCATTCACCACCCTCTCTCCTCGCCTTCGCCCCATCTTCTTTCGTCCATTCGACCGGTGACTATTTCCGGAACCAAGCCCCGCCATTCGCGACGTTCGCACATCTCGCTCGCGTGCTCCCTGGTAACCAACTCAGTGGCCAGGCAAAGTCGTGCGTTGCTCACGACTACCTCTTCGCACTCTCAGACGGTCCGGTTCGGCTTAACAGCGGAAACCATACCTGCACTTCTTCCCTCCCGCCTCTTTCTCTCCGGGGATCAGCAGTCTTTAGTAGGTGGAGCGGTTGGGAAGCAGAACCGGCTGTGCGGCGTGAAGCGGCGGGGAGCGGTGCAGGCGCGGAGCTCTTGGCGGGAGGATGGCTCTGCGGAGGGCGCGGAAGGCGCGCGGATCAAGGTGGTGGGCGTCGGAGGAGGCGGATCGAATGCGGTGAACCGCATGGTTAAGGTGAGATGGAAAGAAGTGGGATGGGAGGTTCCCTGACTGGACCAGGCTTGAAATTTTAGGGCATGGCGGCAGTGCGGCGATTGGAAGAACGGCCATGAGCAAAGGAACGAACCCAGTGGTTGTGGATGAGAGATGCATGAAAGAAAGGCAGGAGAGGGAGCAGCGGGTCGTGGGATTGGCTTTAAGTGTGCGTGGCGTGCTGTTGTTCGACTCGATGATATGCACAGCGGTGTGGACTACGGTGAGCTATAAGATGTGGCTAAAGACGCGCATGCATCGCAAGCAAGATAGCATCACATCTCTCAAGTCTTAGTCTCTGGAAGTATAAATCACCCCAATCACCCCTTGTGTGAAAACTCTCCACTCTGTTGGCTATGTTCCACTCCTCTCTCTCAGCTCATAGCGCTTTCCGCACTCTCTTTGCCACGAATGCCACCATGCACACAAACGTGGAAAATCCTTTCAATCGCTCCGCCACTCATGGCGAGCCACTCAGAACCACAAGAAATCACACGAAACCGCAGGGACCAGAACAGGCTGACATATTCCAACACAGGCAACAGTTTCAGCCTAGTCACTGCCCTGTCCGTGCCATCGTCCATCCTGCACGCACTGTCAACTCCCTGAACCCACGTGCACTCGGCCTTTAAAAACCACCTCCTTTGCTTTTCTGTCCCTCAACTCGCCCCTCTCCCCTCCTCCCCCCGCCCCCTTTTTGTCTTTCCCTCCCTCCGTCCCCGCCTCCCACCCTGCCTCTCTCCGTCCTTCCCTCTCTCACTCCCTCTTTTCCACTCAAATTTCATCCGCATACGCCCATCTCCCCTTTTCCCCCTTTCCCCAACCCCCACCCCTCTCTCCCCCCCGTTGTTGCCCCATCACCCCCCCCCCCCCCCCCCTGTCCCCCTTAGAGCGGCATGCGCGGAGTGGAGTTCTGGATCACGAACACGGACCGGCAGGCCATGGCGCTCTCGCCCGTCGACGAGCCGCACCGCCTGCAGATCGGCGGCGCGCTCACGCGCGGGCTGGGCGCGGGGGGGAAGCCGAGCATTGGGGAGAGGGCGGCGGAGGAGAGCCGCGAGGGGCTGCAGAACGCGGTTATGGGCGCGGACATGGTGTTCGTCACTGTGCGTTCCCGGGGGAAGGGGGGAATGGGGAAGGGGGAATGGGGGGAGGGGAAGCGGAAGTGGTAATGGGGAAGGGGGAATGGGGGGAGGGGAAGGGGAAGTGGTAATGGGGAAGGGGGAATGGAGGGAGGGGAAGGGGAAGTGGGAATGGGGAATGGGGAAGGGGGAAGGGGATGGGGATTGCGCTGTGCGAGTGCAAGTGTGGGAGTGCGCATAACCTGCTGTGAACAAAGATTCTCTCACTCCCATATTCCCTGTGTTGCTCATCACTCATCATCCTCCTTCTCACACTCTTTTCTAAGCTAACACCTCTCCCAGCCATGTCTGGGCTCCCTCACTCACCCTCGTGCTACTACTCTTCCCCTTCCCTCACTCTCCACCTCGCTCTACCAGTACCTCGCTCTACCAGTACCTCGCTCTCCACCCCTCCCCACCCTCCCCACCCTCCCCATCCTCCCAACGCTCCCCACCCCGCCCTTCCTCTGCACGTCCCTCCCTTGTCCTTCCCCCTGCCCCTCTCCATCCGCCACCTTGTTCCCATTTCTTCACCACTCCCTCCCAACCCTCCCCCCCATCTTTTCAGGCGGGCATGGGGGGCGGAACGGGCAGCGGGGCAGCACCAGTCGTGGCGGAAATCGCGCAAGCCCTCGGTATACTCACAGTGGGCATAGTCACGCTCCCGTTCACCTTCGAGGGGCAGCGGCGGCGCGTGCAAGCACTAGACGCAGTAGCAGCTCTGAGGCAACACGTGGACGCTCTGATTGTGATCCCCAACGACCGGCTTCTGGAGGCTGTGGATAAGAGCACGCCTATTAACGAGGCGTTCACTCTCGCGGATGATGTGCTGCGGCAAGGCGTGCGCGGCATATCGGATATCATTCAGGTGCGTGGAGCAGCAAGGCAGAAGTGCCGGTTGTGCTATGGGTACGGTTTTGAATGTTTTCTGAGCAACGCTCCACTGTGATCTATGACCTGACTGGTTGAAGCTATCATTCCCCCTTTTCCCCATTCCACCCCACGCCCCTCCTGCCCCCGCTCCCCCCTGCTCCCCCATATCCTCCTTCGTCTTATGTCTTAGTGCAGTATGTATAGGGCATGGTGGCAGTGCCACCTCTGCATAACTCAATTCTCCTATGTTTTGCGAATGTAATCAATCATCCACATGTACAGACATCACCATCACTCCAACCCTCGTCTCACCCCCCCCCCTCTCTTTCCCTGTTCCCCCAATCCCCAACCCTTCCCTCCATCTCATCCTCCATCACCCCCTCAGGTTCCTGGGCTAGTGAATGTGGACTTTGCTGACGTCAGGGCAGTCATGGCCAATGCCGGCCCATCCCTCATGGGCGTCGGCGTTGCGCAAGGTACTGCCGTGCACCCATACCATGCATCCACGCACCCATGCATCCATACGCCCATGCACCCATGCACCCGTACATCCGTGGGATGCTGATATCTTGTCTCGGCTATCCCCCCTTTTGTTTCTCTTCTTCTTTCTTTTTGGCAGCCTCCGCACATTTCTATCTCCCCCTTCTCCATTTCCTAACCGTTTCCCATTCATCCATCTCTCTGTAACCCCATCCCATTGCCCCTCCATGCCATTCCACCCCATCGCAACTCACTCCTATCCAACCCATCGGCGGATCCACCCAACCCCATGGCACCACACCCCCACCCTGCAGGCAAGGACCGGGCACGCAAGGCAGCGCTGGGTGCGATCCACTCGCCACTCCTGGAAGTGAGCATAGAGCGCGCCACTGGCATCGTGTGGAACATCACAGGTCCCCCCGACATGACGCTTCTCGAGGTGAGCTCCTGTCTGCCCGCCCTCACCCATGTTTTCAAGTCCCAACCCGCCCTCACACCTTCTTACATCCTCTCACTTACCCTTCTTCCATCTGTCCTGCCTCCCCCCTCCCCACGCCCCTTTTCTTCCGCCCCCCTCCCCACGCCCCTTTTCTTCCGCCCCCCTCCCCACGCCCCTTTTCTTCCGCCCCCCTCCCCCGTCCCTCCTCTCCCCTGCAGGTGAATGAGGCAGCGCAGGAAATTCACCAGCTGGTGCATCCAGACGCCAACCTGATCTTCGGTGCTGTGGTCGATGAATCCATGGCACCCAATGTACGTCTGCCTGTGCCACGCATGCCTGCCCTCAACCCATGCCCGCTCGCACCCACCCATCCCTGCATGGGCGCACATGCTCGCACACACGCATGCACGCCTTCATTCCCAATGCACAAACATTCCTTCATTCGCTCATTCATGAGTGTGAGCAGAGCACACGAGTCTTCCGAACCGCTCCTACATCGCACATGTATCCCCTCCCCCTCATCCCTGCTCCTTGCTCATCTCCTTGTCCCCACTGCAGGTCAGCATCACTCTCATCGCAACCGGCCTTAAAGAACCGGGCTCGCAAGTGAGTCTACCCTTTCCCCCCCCCACCTCACTCCACTCATCCCCACCTGCTTCTGCTTTTTCTCCCCAGTCCTTGCCGTTTGCTAACGCATGAGGTGAATTCTGGTTTAAGTTCGTCCTTCCTTTGTGCTTCCCTTGGATTATCAGTCTCAAACGCCTGCTCACGTCCTCCCTTCCTTCCTTGCCTCCTCCTCCCCCCTCCTCTATCTCTCTTTGCCCCACCCGTTTCTCCCTCAATAACTAACCTATCCCCACAGTCTGAGCTTCCAGCAGCAGCAAGGGTGCTAGGAAGCCGAATGCCCTTCCCCCCACAGCAGCAGCAGCAGCCACCGTACAGTCCACCACTCCCTCAACAGCAGCCAGGGCCGTCCTCCCCTCCCCCCATCCCTGACTTTCTCCGACGACGATCCCGAGGCCTCTGAGGCTGCTCTACACGCACCCCGCACTCTCTGCACACTTCAAACACTCCACGCTGTGCACTCTCAGTTTAGCGTTTTCTCATAAGTTTAGGTGGTGGATGTGGGGGCTGTAAGCCTGGCCAACAGGGTTCTTTATGGATGGTGAGGCTGTTGCTGGGTACCAAGGGGTGTAGTTGTATTTAAGGGTGTCAGGCTGAATGTCCTACCCCCACAGTGCTACGGTATTCACTAGCTAGGTAGGTAATGGGTAGGTGGGGCCTGCTACCTACAGTTTTGTAAAAGGAGGTCAGGGAATGCAGCTTGTTGGTGGGTGCGGGCGGGTACCGTATGCCATGCAGGTCCGTGGATATTCGTGGAGGTTAGGGATTTTTGTAGGCTGTTCGGAGAACTCTCAATTAGGGGTACTGTTGTTGAATGGTGCCTTCTAGTGTGGCTCGGCAATTCTTCCCTGGTCTCTTCTTATCCTTCTGTCATCTCCCCTTAGCCTCTCGGTCCTGCTGATTGTCCCCCTCGACCATAATCTTGACGCAACTTCCGCTTGCCCCAGCAATTCCTCATTTCTGGGGCCTGAGGAGGAGAAAGTTTCCACCTCTGATTGGATTGGAGTCAGTTGTGGTTGTGCTAGCTTGGTGTGTGTGTGTTTCACTGTATGTCTACTTTAGGCATATCTTTTTGTGAGATAGCATGACATGGGCTGGATGGATGTAGTCAAGCATTTGATTTGAATATGGGATGAGTGAGTGCTGTGCAAAATGATCCAGCCTCCAGGGCAAGCAGGCAAACTGTAGTAATGATGCACGTGGTTGAATTGCATTCTGCTGCTTCAGAAAGCCACAGAAAAGTAATGAAAGAAAATGCATTGGTTGAGTGGCTGGCAGTGCAGGGTTTCATATCAACTGACAACTACCATGCAGGCTGCTGTCTTGCTGGTCATGTTTACAGTGGATTATTCTGCCATTCACAGTGGTATTTGGTCAGGCTGTCCATAGAGGGCATTGTTGTACCGGTACTTTGTAAGCACGTTAATGATTGAATCGCGATACAAGCACAAACAATGCCAATTGACATTTCCAATGCCAGGATCTTCTCCCCACCCCACTTGCTATGCCTACTTGTTGTCCTGTTGCTTAAGCAGAAAGGTGATAAGCAGCGACTCCCTATGTTGCCTGAAACAAGCATGGGGAAGGCAAAAAGACGAAGACAGTTTAACACTTGCAGCAACCTGGAGGGCTCGGAAAGGTGAGAAAACCATGCACAAGGCACTACAGGGCCTAGAAGATGGTGGAGAATAGCATGGAAACAAAATCTAAACTAACTATAATAAAAGAAACGTTTCAGCTCAGCCATACTGACGGTAAGCCAATTGGCATGGATGTGTGGGTAAAGGCAGCATGCTACTAGCCCGGCAGCTAGGCAGCATGCTGGACTCGGCATAAACCTAGCAAGCTCAGTCCGACATAGACTAAGCCAACCATTCACGTCACTTACGAAACGAGGGAGGATCAGGTTAAAGAGTTGGCAAAACGTGGACCAAAGCACGTGATTCACAGCTCTACGCCGTTAAATTGCAATCGAATCACACCTAGTCACCGAAACCCTAACCTCACACACAAGTTTCGTTACTAAATTTGTCGGATCGGCAACAATATCTGGCGAAAACGTCGCACAACGCAACGGTGGAAAGAGGACGCAGTCTCAACGCGCAAAGCAAGCTAGGACGACTGTGACTTACTCGCTGGTAACCCGCCATTCCCACCACCGCATCGTTGCGCTGCGTTCAGTGGTGTCCGCCGCCCTCCTTCGCCGCTTCCGCGTGCTTCATGTGACGGATCTCCGCAGGCCATCCGACGGCGTAGCTCAACACGAAGACGCCAGACATGACCTGGAAGAGCGGTGTGGGGCTGCTGGTGACGATGTACTTGCGGTGGTACTCCTTAAGAAACCGCGTCGACTCGTTCATAACGTTGTCGTACGTCGCGACGCTCTTAACGAAGTTTGGGACCTCCTTGAGCTTGAGACCCGCCACTTGGCGCACAAAGTGCTGCAGGTTCGACATGGCGGGAGGGCGAAAGTGCAAGGGCGATGACAAGACGGCGCGGCGAATGGATCAGGGACGGCGGAAAGCGTGTGGGAGCCGGAAGCTCCGACGCGAGGGGGTGGTAGAGGTCGACCTGCTGGGCGGGGAATGCGGAGGGTGGGGTATGGAGTAGATCCAACGAGGAAGTGCGAGCAACGGTCCGCAAGCAACAGCGGAGGGACTGGAGGTGAAACAACCAGGCTTTGGGAGTCGCTTTTGCAACCGTACCCAACCATTCTAATGTTCTAGAAACCGATCAAATAAGCAGAAACGACTCCCTGAACCGCACAACCATAACCGACAAGAAAGCGCTGTAACTCTTACGGTATACGATGCTTCTTCATCGTGGATTCAGTGTTAAAATCATTCAATATTTAGTGTTAAAACATCAAACTGCCCCGTGATCTTGAATTCCACAACCCAGCTTACGAGCTGGGCCCATGATCACAAATTTATGGCATGCAGATTGTACTGTATACATTTCTTCGTCCACAACAAAACAATGCAAAGCTCCACTCAAGAGTCAGTGAGCCATGGAACTAAACTGTGCTTCACCTCGTATCGACCCCTCATGTGCTAAGGTGGTCTTCAACAAAATCTGGGTTCTTCCGGAGAATGACGTATCCCTCTAGCACAGAGGAGAGTGGAATGTACCTGTGCACATCGAGGAGGAAAGGAGCAAGGGAGCAGCAGGCAAGGGCAGATGGCAGCAGCAAAAGTGGATGCAAGGAGGATCACACAGCAGTGGATGCAACGGAGAGTATACGGATAAATGGAATGAAAAAAGTAAACAAGCGCATGCAATAATAAATACACGAGTGGATGCGATGAAAAGTAACCGAATGGATGCACTGGAAAGTACATGAAAAGGATGCAGTACCAGCTGCTCTGCTACCACAGCACACACCTGAAGCACAGCTTGGAAGCTCCAACCAGAACACCAAAGCATGCATTACACAATGCAAACTATTACCGTATACTCACAAGCGCAAATATCTAAATGTGCAAAGCAAGCGCTTACTTGTCTGTTGCCAGCTCTGCTCTGTCGCCCGTAGCGAGCAGCACAGGCGTGGTGTGCGTTTGGAAGCCCGTGATGGTCTTGGGGCGCCCTGCCTGCCCCACCACGTCCACCGCCTGCCCCACCCGCACTGGCACCGACAGTGGCTTCAGATCCTCATCCACCGTCAACAGCATGCGCGGCTGTAAAGGAGTGGGGCGGCGAGGGGAGGAAAGGGGACGGAGAGAAAGGGAGGCGTGATGGAGAAGGTGATCTTTGAGTCGATTGCCCCACCCGCACTGGCACCGACAGCGGTCCTCATCCACTGTCAGCAGCATGCGCGGCTGTAGAGCAATGGAGGGAGGGAGGGGAGGAAAGGGGACAGGAAGGAGAGAAAGGGAGGCAGTGTGGGGAAAGTGAACTTTGTGTCGACTGCCCCACCCGCACGGGCACGGACAGCGGCTTCAGGTCCTCGTCCACTGTCAGCAGCATGCGCGGCTGCAGGGAGGTACATGGGGTGCGGAGAGGAAGGGGTCAGGAAGGGGAGAGAAGGAGGCACGGTGGGGAAGGTGATCTTTGAGTCGATTGCTCCACCCGCAGCAGCACTGACAGCAGCTTCTGATCCTCATCCAACATCAGCAGCATGCGCGGCTGCACAGCGATGGGAAGGGGGGGAGGGGAGGAAAAGGGGACAGGAAGGAAAGGGAGGCAGAGTGGGGAGTGATCTTTGAGTCGACTGCCCCACCCGCATGGGCACGGACAGCGGCTTCTGATCCTCATCCAACATCAGCAGCATGCACGGCTGCAGGGAGGTACTGGGGGGAGGGGGGAGAGAGGGGGGGGGGGGGGGGAGGGAGAGGACGGGAAGTTGTGGCATTGAGCAAGTGAACTGTAAATTAAAGCAAGGATGGATGATGCGAGGATGAAGGGAAGGATCAGCAAGTAACATCACTAGGCGGCATATCAAGCCTGCACCTGGAAGACAGAAGCCACAATACCTACATGGCATCGCCGACCCCCTGTACCTGCATGGCGGGCACAATGTAATAGAGTGCGTAGTGGTAGCGGTGCAGGATGATGCCCTTGATGTCCAGACAGCTGTGCAGCAGCGCCGCCAGCCCTGCCAGCGCCACACTGCGAGTAGGGAGCACAGGAGGGGGCATAGAGAGGGGAGGGGCAGTGCGAAAAAGGAGAGAAGAGGTTGCAAAAATGGAGAGAAAGAAAAAAACGCAGAGGAAGGGTATGCCAACGGGAAGATCATGCTGAGGGGGATGAATCAGTTGCACAGACGGATAGAAAAAAACGCAGAGGAAGGGTATGCCAACGGGAAGATCATGCTGAGGGGGATGAATCAGTTGCACAGACGGATACTGCAGTAAACGGTGAAGGACAGGTTCGGGAGATCAAGGATCGTCGTGGCAGATCGTGAAAAGCAATGGCACAGAAATAGCACACGAGGAAAACTTCCCGGAAAGCGGCAGAGGGGGCATACTTGGAGCAGAGGAAGCGGTCGGAGTGGTAGGGGTTGAGTGTGAGCAGACCCTTGCCCAGATGCACGAGACCTTGCGCAATGCGCACCTGCACGGCCACGGCACAGAAAAAAAAAATGACAGAGAGGAAGTGATGGCTTTGTAAGGGTGCAGGGGAAAACAAAAAAGGAATTATGGGTGATGAGAACAAGTGCAGCAGACAGGAATGAGGTCACGGAAACGAAATAGAGTCAGATGGCAATGGAGAACGGGGAGGGGAGGGGTGAAGGTGTGTGCAGGGAGGGAGGTGGAGTAGGGCGTCTTACACAAAAGAGCACGGTGGGATCCTTGTAATAGGAGGAGAGGTTGATCGGACTCAAAAAGAGGTAGGGGAAGGGCGAGTTGGGTATGTGCGAGGAGGGTGAGTGTGGTGTGACTCACACAGAAGAGCACGGTGGGGTCCTTGTAGTAGTAGGAGGAGAGGTTCCGCAGCATGCCAGCAATGCGCGCATTGTTGGTGCCCGCACCTATCAGACCTAGCGATAAGGTTGCTCCCTGTGTCACAGAATGGGTCACACCATTTTCCAGATCATTGCACCGAATAGAACCATACAGAACCACACGGAAGCACATGGCACATTGGCTTCAGTAACGTGCTGCTGGACAGAGAAGCATTTCAATCTCGAAACACCAAATCACGGAGAGAGAAAAAAAGCTCAACATGCATGAAACACATGAACCGAACTGCAGTCCATAACAGCACGCCCATGCTACTCCCATTGTATGTGCCATCCTGGGGACATGAGGCTGAAGAGTCCAGTGTAGCACATGTTATGCCATGCTTGACATGCAACAGCGTACGCTATTAACCTACCATGGCAACTTCAGCATCGCTGTCATGTGTTAGCCGACCCAGTGTGTCCATAACACCCATCTGTCCATATATAGAAAGAGAGGTGCCAAGAAACCAAGTGCACACGCAGACAGGCGGAGAAGGTGGGAGGATGGAAGGATGAGGGAGACAAAAGAAATCAAAGTGATAATTCGTGAGCGATGGGGCAGAAAATGAAGCTAGAATCAATCGAGGACGGATGGCAGAGAACAGCAAGAGAAAGGACGGGGGAGAACGGACGATTGAGCTGGAAGAGGGTGGGAGAGAGCAAAAGAGAGCGGGACTGTCATAAACCAGAGCTGCTTTGCAAGGCTCACCCGTGGATTGGAGATGGAGAGCAGGCCGAGGGCGAGAGGCACCGCGCGACGCACACTAGCATCCCCATACTGCAGCAGATGCTCCAGGCTGCGAATGGCCATGTCCGATCCTAGCTCCTCTGCTATTGCCACCATCGCTATCCCCAGCACCGCTGCTCCCTGCCCAAACCCTGCCTTTCCAGCTGCCGCCCCAGCGTTGCTGCCTGCTGCTGCTCCTGCAGCAGCTGAGCTGCCTGCTGCTGCTGCTGCGGATCCTGCTCCTGCTGTGGTGCCTGCGGCTGCTGCCCCTGCTGGTGCTGCTGCCCCTGCTGCTGCGGTGCCGGTGCCTGCTGCAGGGGTCTCTGTGGACGCACTGCAGAGGGCGAGCATTTGTTGCACCTGGAGAGATGTGCAGAGAAAATAGAGGGTCAGGTATACAGTGGAGGATTGACAGCCAGCAAACATAAATGCCAGAACGGGTGCAAACAGCAATGACGGGAACAGGAAGAGTGGAGAAAAGGGGTAATACAAGCAGGATTCGTGCGGGAACGGTTGGGTTGAAGCTGGCAAGGGTGGAAGGGAAAGGGGAAGGAGGATTTGGGGAAGTCGGGGGAGTGGGAAACGGCGAGAGTGGATTCAAAAGCAGGCAGGGTACTGGCACACATCATGCTCCTAACAGCCAAGCTGCAGGAAAACAACACTCACCTTGAGCACGTTCCCTGTACCGGCATACGCACACGCGTCCAGCGTGACCTGGCAATACCCCGACACAGCCTCATTCAACGTTTTCGCCACCTCCACAGTGGCATCCACCGCCTCTTGCTGCCCCAGGAACAGCAGCCCCAGCCCGAGGCACAGGTAGCGCGCGAGGGGCTCTGAGAGCTCTGTGTCCCGCTCCATGAGCGCGAGAATGATGGCCTGTGCTGCGTCCTCGTTGCAGGAGGAGACGAACACGAGGCCGAGCGCTAGGGCCGCGTTTCCGGCAACGTCGATGGGGGTCTTGGTGTCTGTGACCACTGGGGCGAGGAGGGCGAGGACCTGATGGGGAGGGGGGCGGAGGGAGGGAGAGAGAGAGGACCTTGAGATGAACACGAGACGGAGGGCTAGGGCTGTGTTGCCAGCCACATCGATGGGGGTCTTGGTGTCTGTGACCACTGGGGCGAGGAGGGCGAGGACCTGATGGGGAGGGGGGCGGGAGGGCGGGATGGGAGGGTTTCTTCAATTGATAGCGCCTAGTAAGCCGCAAGAAGTGCAGGATTTGATGGGGGGTTGGTGCTCATGGTGTGGGTGGAAGAGGGTGAGCAAAGGGAGAGGGGGAGGGATGACAGGGAGGATATCGGAAAAGGGAATGATGTGGGTCCGAGGGAATAGGTAGGGGGAAGGTAGGGAGGAGAGAGATACAAAGTTGAAGACTTGACAGGGGAGGAAAGGGGAAAGGAGAGAGGCAACTGGGGGACGAGATGCAATGGTGTGGTGCAAGGGCAGGGGCAGGGAAGGGGCAGGGGAAGGGGCAGGGGAAGGGGCAGGGGCAGGGGCATGGAAGGACAGGGAAGGGGCAGAGCAGGGAAAGGCAGGGCACGCACCTCCTCCTTGCATGTGCCGGCATATGCAAGGCCAAGGCCCATAATGGCTCCAATGCGGATGGTGGGGTCGTCCTTCTCCACACTGTCACAAAGCAGTGCGTATGCCTGCCATGCCCCCATGCCATACACCATGCCATGTATCATAGCATGCCATGCCATTCACCGTGACGTGACGTGACGTGACGTGACGTGACGTGACGTGCACCATGCCATACAGAGCCATATCATGCCATGCCATGCCAAGCCACGCACATACCAGCACCAGGGGCGGAACAGAGGGGAAGGGGAGAGCAGCGAGAGGAAGGGGCCGGGGGAAAGTGTTCCGGGGTAGAGTGGAAGATCAGCAAGTGATTCAAGAGGAAGCAGAGCAGCACAAAGCCCCAGGCCCGCCTCAAGCAGTCACACCCAAATAGCAAATCGTTAGTGAGAGCAATAAACAAAGCTCACAGCCACAGCGCAACACCAAGCGTGAAACGCCCCATGACATGACGCCATACTTAGCCACGCTGTAACTCCCGAGAGGAGGCAACACTCACCGGGTCGCACTCATTGCGCACGCCACAGTTGACAATGCCCACGGCCAGCAGTGCCCCCGCAATGATGTTGTTGTCGTTGGTGTAGAGATACTTGTCGATCTGTGGCAGACCCCCGTCCACGTCCCACTGCACTATCATGCCCTGCTCTCGCATGAAAGAAGGGGGGGGAGCCATGGATGGGAAAACACAAACACTGATGAATTGACAGGACTCCCAAGTTCTAAAAAGGTTTGATCAAGTAAGGTGCAGCTGGCGTGCGCCGTTGCGGTGGGCAGTTGTGACGAGCAGTTGCTCGGAGCACCCCGCATGCATCAAGGGCCACTTTCGTTGCATGGCATCAAGGGCAGTTGCATTGCAATGCAACGAAAGTGGCCCTTGATGCATGCGGGGTGCTCCGAGCAGGGAGGCTCGGAGACAACTCACTGCACCGACTCACCAGGCTAGCAGTGGCGCTGGCTTTCCCATGCTCCTTGTTCTTGAACAGCCAGCTGCCCGCCGCTGCGCTGCTGCCCTTGCAAGCCACCTTACAACAACAACACACGACGCATGTTGGCTACATTCATTCATCACCCCTGCGCACACCGACTCACCAGGCTAGCGGTAGCGCTGACTTTCCCATGCTCCTTGTTCTTGAACAACCAGCTGCCCGCCGCTGCACTGCTGCCCTCGCCTCCTGCTGCCGTGAGCAGCTTGTCCTGTCCGAACCCAGCATTCACAAACGCGTTCACGAACGTGGCTGCCAGGTTCTGCCTGGCGGAGTCAAGAGTTGATGCCTGGGATGCCCGCCCGTCAATGAGATGCGCCTGTGGGAGGAGGAACAGGGGACGGCAGGAAGCAGGGAGGGTAGGGAAGCATTCACGAACGCATTCACCAATGTGGCTGCCAGGTTCTGCGCCAGGGGCGAAGGGGAGAAGAGACAAAAAAAACACCAAGTCGAAGGGGAAACACACACGTGCCACAGCACGTGCCAGCACCCCGCACCCACCTTGTAGATGTCTTCAGGCAGCTTGGGTTCCATGACGTCCAGGTCCCTGGCGAGGGTGAGATACCCCTCGCACAGGCGTGTGTTGCACATGATCTCCTGCAGCGCCTCGCGCTCCTCGTCACTCGCCAGCTCCGGCTCCTCCTCCAGGTTCAGCACAAAGCCCTGCAATCGTGCAGGGCAATAGGGGTGATTGACAAGGGAATAAACGACTTGTGATAAGCCTAGAGAACGACCTCCGGCTCCTCCTCCAGGTTTAGCACAAAGCCCTGCAGCACAATATCGGACAGGGAAATGCGTTTTGCGGTGCCTCAAACATCAGCTCCGGCTCCTCCTCCAGGTTCAGCACAAAGCCCTGCAAGGGGGATGCGGGGGGTGATGATAAGAAAAATATTAAATTTAGGCACCTCACTTGCTAGTTCCGGCTCCTCCCTCCAACAAAACCCTGCAGGGGTTTAGTGGGAAGTGAGTGACAATAGAATCATGGTCACAGCCATGATAGCACGAGGCGTCTAGGATGGACAAGGGAATGTGAGGGGAGAGGAGGGAAGTACCGACGGCTTGGTTGTGATCACCATTGTGTGGCACAGAACCAAGCACAACAGGTTAGATTGGGTCAAATTAGACGGGATGGCCAACGAGCCAGGGTAAGGAAAGAGGAAAGAAGCAGCCGAGTAGGCGGAGGAACAAGAAAAAAAGGGAAATAAGTCAGAAGGCACAGCATGCAAGGTTACCTGACGAGACGGGTGAGCAAGGAATGGTTACCTGGCGAGAGAGGAGGTATGCAAGCTGCTTCTTCTCCAGGCCCTCAGCTGCTGTGAACGTCTCCCGCACAAACTGTGCATACACACAGACACACGCGTCCACCCACACACACACACGTGAGGCCGACAGAAAGAAATCATAGGGCACACATGCAGCAAACACGCACCGCTTCAAAAGTACCGAGTAAGCAAAGGAAGAAAGGATGGGTGCATGCAGCGAAATCATGTGGCATCTTGACAATTCTTCTTGTCATATTAAATCCTTCCACAATTCCCCCCCAAAGCACGCCTACCTCCCCACACGCACGCACCTGCGGGCGGTTCATGCGCAGGGCGACCCTGAGCGCGTCCAGGTACTTGTTGACCTTGCGGTAGATCCGGTATGCCACCTCCAACACCACCATGTCCTCTGGCTCTGGCACATAGCTGGAAGGAAGAGAGGCATAAGATACACAAGTTGAAAATGGGGAGAAGAGAGAACTGGAATAGCATCGGAATGCGCAAGACTAATTTGATACGACGACAACAACGTGAGGGAGTAAGCTCACCTAGCGCAGGCGGTGAGGTAGAGACAGGTGCGGGAGTAGTTCTGTGGACCAATGTGGTCTACCAGCATGTCCAGATGCTCCACCTGCAGGCAGAACGGATGAGAAAGGGGGGAGGGGAGGAGGGAGAGGAGGGAGAAGGGAACATGCGAGGGGAGGAACAACCCAGTCACGTGGAAGCTTCATGTTCAAAAAGTGGTGGGAAGACGAGGAAACAACAGGGATGCATGCAGAACGGCATAAAAGAAAACGGAGGCAGTGAAGGAAGGTGCAGAGGAGCAGACACTTACCTCCATCAATAGGTCAACAGCCTCAGGCTCCGCGTTGTGCTGCACAGGGGACAGGCGAGAATCGAACCATCAAGCAAAAGGACACGCAGTAGGAGAGGCATGGGGAGAGGCACGGTGAGCGGAGAGGCAAAGTCAAAGGCATGAGATGAGTCACGAAATGAGTCACGGGGACACGTACTAGGCAAGATTCCATACCAAGCATTCACACGCATTTCGCAGAGGATTCAGCACACAGAGTGGTTTACTCAGAGAGGGCAGTGCACGAGACAGTCAATGCAGACGAGAGCAGTAGCCACTCGGCACAAAAGGAACGCTCTGTGGCATGAGGCCCATGTGGTCACCCACAGGCTTGCTTCTAAGAGCTGTTATATACCAACTCCAACATAGTGCACGCACCTCGACATGGAAGGGCACGATCTGCTGCACGAGGCCCATGAGGTCGTCCACTGGCTTGTCGTCCGCCTGCCGTAGCTGGTACTCCACTCCTATCTCCCCCGCCAGGTTCCTGCTCTCCAGGTGTGGAACGGATGAGGGACCGGGGGGACGGAACACACGCTTGAGCCAAGTGGTGAGGGTAGAGAGGAACGGACAGAGTGGGCTCAGAAGAAAGCAGCTCAAGAGGGGACCTTGGTGGGGGAGAGGTTACAAAAAAGAGGACCAGGGGGAGGGGGAAGGGAGGGGGGGGGGGGGGGGGGGTGTGGACGAAGCAAAGCAAATCTACACCTTTTCATAAGGGAATTTGAAGTGAAGAACGGCGACGATGAGGGGAATTTAAGAAAGTTGAGACGAAAGAGGCCCGAGGAGTGCAGCAGGGGGAGGTGAGGGCGTTGCAAGAGGAGTGCGGCGTCACCTGACGTATTCATGGCCCCATGAGCCCAGGTCCTCTGTGGATCCCAACAGCCGGTACTTGAGACTCTCCTGTGAACAGCAAAGCAACAGCACGGAGAAGAGCACGTGCGAGACGTGAGAGCAAGCGAGAGAAGCAAGAGCCTGCGCACGAAGCTCGCCCATAGTCATGATACAGGTAGGGCCCCACCCCACCAAGAGAATCCATAAATTCCAATAAAAAGACAAGGAAGCAACGGGCGGCGGGGGAGCGGAGGGCGGGGGGAAGGGGGCAAGAGCAGGGGCAAGAGCAGGATGTAACGTACCCTGGCTCCATCCTCGGACATAGTCATAGCCAGCACTGAGATGACGTCTGCGATGAGGCTCTGCACGGCACGGAGCACAGAAACCGAGAGAGAGGCAGGGAGGGTTGACGCCAGGGCGCGCAGGCAGGCCAGGGTTTAAGAGGGGAACGGTGGTGAAGCACCAGCCAAAGAACCGAATTCCAGGGGGAAGGGGATGGGAGCAAACGACGGGAGAACCTAAATGGACGAGACGCGCGAGAGAGCCACTGCGGAGCAAGATGCAGGAGAAGGCAGGTGGCAACGGAAGCTCATGGCGTGTATGCCAGGGATTTAAAAAGCAGACTAGGAGGTGGGGACTGAGGCAGGAGAGCAGGTCAGGGGAGGGCAAGAGAGGAGAGGGCGACAGGGGAGGAGGGCAGGAGAGCAGGGAGTGGGGCGAGACCTGGTTGTCAGGGTGAACAGTGTTGTAGGAGCTCTTGAGCAGCGCGTAGTGCTGGCGCAGGAACTTGAGCGGCTTGGGCACGGACGTCATGGAGCTGGTGGCCGTGCGGATCTCCTTGCTGCCAGGGCGATACGCACGCACGCACGCACGCACATACACACACCCGTCATGCGGCAGATGCGTTAGCGACAATCTCAAGGGTTTGGGGAGTGTTGAGAAATGAAAAAATCTAAGATGGAAAGAACGGATTCGTGATACAAATGTAACTGGAGAAGGAAGGCACACGGTCACGTGTACCAAAGCCCGTGTGCCACGTGGATGCACACAACGGCGACCAGACAGAGGAAGAAGCAGAGTCGAGTGAAGCAGCAAAACAGCAGCAGCGTCACTCTCATTTGTATAAAAAGCCATCCTTGAAGAAAACAGGGTTTCGGATTCGCTCACCGCATGCTTTCGAGCGCTAGCTTCTGCACTCCGGCCTCGGAGTCACTGAGTCGCTCCACCATGAGGTCCAACGCCTGCTTCAACGCCAAATCCTCCTCCGACTGCAATGATGCACGCACGCACGCACACGCACACGCGCACGCACACGCACACACACGCACGCACACATACGCACACCACACGTGAAGCACAGACACACACGCGAGGCACAGACACACACGCGAGGCAGAGACACGCACACGCAACGCACAGACACGCCATACGACGCTTTGAGTTGTGTGCATCGCTGGTGGGTGGACGCACGACGCTGGACGGATTCCCGCAAGGCGTGGCGAAGAGGAATAAAAGTAAGATCCTTCAGTCTAACCCTTCAGCTACCCCGCGCGCGCAGGTGACTATACGACCAGCACATGTCGACCCAGTTACGGAGATCTGCGCACTATGTAACGGATTCCGCGGCAGAACATGCGGACAAGCTGAGGAACGTGGTCCGACAGATCAAGGAAATCAAGAAATTATAGACGTGGCCCCGAAACCTACTCGAACTTCTAAATCACTGAGAAAATAGCTCGCTCCAAGCGACCTACCGGCAGTGGCAGCGGACATCCGCCTTATTATAGTGACCAAATCCTCCAAGGAATCGAATCTACAGGACTGCCAGAGAAAACCCGACCCTGACGGACCAAGCCTGGAGCTTCCAATCCGAGTCGTTGTCCTTACTAGTAAAATTGGAATTGCGTCCATCACACGCAACCATGACTGCCGGAACAGAAAACTCCACTCAAAACGCACGGGGCTTGCAGCAGATCGTGCGATCTGTAGCAATCTTAGCCGCCTTCAGAGTGACGTTCGCCGTCATACCAGCGATTTTAGCAGCCATCAGAGAGAGTTTTTAGATATCATACCAGCTCATCCTGCTTTTTCTCTTCCTTCTTCTTCTTGGCGTCCTTAGTCGCCCCATCCTTCTGAACCTTCTGCTCCTCCTTGGACGTGCCGACCTTCTCCTCCTCCTTCTCCTTCTTATCCACCGCCATTTTCACAGATCACGAGCTGCACACGAAACAAGAATAAGGAAATTAAGAAAACAAAGATACGGTCCGGAACGCTGAAAAGACGATCCGGAGATTCGAGTCCCGCAGATTGCTTATTCAAAGGCTGTTTGCAGGCTGAAAGAATTCCTGAAAGATTTTACGCGGAAAGCCTCGAAACCGTCCGTCATCGACTATACGCAAGCGCAGATCGAAGGGTAAAACTGCTAAAACGTACACGGAGTCCCAGACCCTACACGTACTCAGACAACGGAAGAGACCGCAGAACGACGAAGAATTCGAATACCGATCTGGCTCGTCTAAATCTTTAGATAATTGCGACGAGATGGATCACGCCGGAAAGTGAAGGACAGAAGCGTGACGCAGATCGGCGGACTCGGCTCGCTAGCAAATCCGCTCTGAATCGTGCTAGCAAATCCACTCCACAACTGCTGTTCCTGGGCCTATGACTGCCGAGCTAGATTTGAACAAGACGTGGATGTTCAGGATGGAGGGGAGATCACTCAAATCTATATGAGGTGGGATATCGCATGCTGTTGTTACGACAAGCACGTGTAACATTTGTACAGAGGTTAACTTAAAACGGTGAAAACATTCCCAAACCACTCCGCTGTTTCGTTTCAAGGGACGCGTTTGATTTGAAAGTAAACACGAGGACCATTCACTGTTTCAACTATACTTTCTGCTTCAACTGATTCATATAATCAATTAGCTCTCTCATGTCTATATCGAGTCGCAAGATCCTTGTTAGGAATCTTCACCTGGCTGGTCTTGAACTTCAGCCCCTCATTTATCAATGCTGTCCGAGGTTGCGTGAGCTGCGTCGAGTTTTTCTCGGCCGTTTCCAGTCGTGCTCTCCGTTCCGCGTCTCTTCCTCTCGCAAATCGTCGCCGTTCCTCGCCTGCGCGGATTCACTCCTCCGATCCGAATCCCAGTTGCTTTTGAAAGTACCAAAAGCAAACTATCAGCACCTGCAAGCTCTTCCATCAACACCTCGTCGCGCTGATGTCCGCCGGAGAAGCGGCTCCGGCCGCCGCTGCTGCTGCTGCTCCGCGGCCGGCGCTTCTGGTGCACGGCGCGCTGTGGGGGCTGCCTTCCGCGTGCCCCTGCTGCATCCGCGCGGAGGCTTACCTGTGCCTCGCGGCGTTTCCGCACGACTGTGTCGAGTGCCCCGCGCAGATCACCTCCTGTACGCCCCCGCTCGCGCTGCTGCTTGCGCAATTTCTCTTGCTTCTCCCCACACTCACTCCCCGCGCGCCTCTTCCCCTTTTCCCCGCCTCCTCCCACACGCGCGCTACCTCGTTTCCGCCGTTCAGAGGTGTCTGAAAGCAGGCTCTGCGAATCTAGCTTCTCCGCGCGCCGCTTATCACACGCTTTTTCCATGCAGTCCGCGCCCGCCCCCTTCAGTTCCCCCGCTTCTTCGCGCCCTTCCGTCCTCGCGCTCTGCACGTACGTGTGCGTGACATTTTGGATATTGTGATCCGACAGTCTCAGCAGCAGCTACCCCTGTATTCCGTCGTCGTCGTGTCCCGTTCGTAATATATACCTCAATTGCACAGCTCTCTCGTCCTCCCCCAACCCTGCTCTTCTTTCCCGATTACCCGTCTCTTTCCCCCTCTCCCCCAACCCTATACCCCCGTCCTGCATCCCCATCCCGTCACCTCTCCCGCTTCCATTCCCCCCTGCGGTAAGTTTCCTGACAGTTTTCGCCAGTCTAATCATTCGCATCCCCTTGCGCCCCCCTTCCGCCCGATCCAGGCGACCTCCCCGCGCTCGAAGATTACCCCTCCGCGCCCACCCATCCCCCCGCCGCACCCGACCACCCCTCATCTTCCTCCGCCTCCGCACCGGACTCTTCCGCGGGCGCTCCCTCATCTCCTCCTCCCGCTGATCCCGCCGATTCGCGAACCCCTGCGTCCGCCGATACTGCCGCTTCCGCCGACACCCCCCCCGCGGGATCTTCCGCCGCGCCCCGCGCGCGTCGCGCCTCTCCGCGCCCGGTGATTGCGCTCTCCTCCGCCTCCGCCTCTGCCGTAGAGGACTACCTCCGCGCGCACCGCGGGGTGGACCTAGACGCCGCGCTTTCCCCCGTAGAGCGCGCCGAGCTGACTGCGCTGCGCGGACTGGTGGAAACCACCCTCTCCTCCGCCGCGCAGGCGGAACTATGGGGGGAGGAGCGCAACCGCGCAGCTCTTCGGGAAATGTTTGACGCCGCAGTGCCCTGGCCGCTCTCTCGCGCGCTTCTGTGGAGAGAAGCGCGGAACCAGGGATGGGGGGAGGCGGAGCGGAAGGCGCAGCAGGGGGAGGGCGGTGGAGATGGGCGGAGTAGTGGCCCGGGAGCGGCGCTGGCGCGCGCTGGCGTGCGGTCGAGGGAAGAGGTGCGCGGAAGGGGTTTTCAGTTTGAGGGGTGTAGGGCAAAAACCATCGGAATCGCAATAAGGAGAAGGGAGTGGGTTGACTGGAAAGCCGCGTTGGTATGGAAAGATGAAGGTTCTGGGTTTTGGGGGCGCCTCATGGTATAAGGAATCCTCGCTCTTTCTCGCATTCCCTCATCTGCCCTCGCTGGTTTCATGCCATTTCGCCGAGGATTCCCCTTTCCCCACCCTCCCGCTGTCCCCTCCATCCGTTCCCTTCGCTGCAACGCTTGAACCCTGAACCCTCCCATCAGCTCTTTGCACGAGCAGCAGCGGCATACTCGGCGCTCGCCAGTCGCCTGGGAGACGCACCTCTCTTCTTCGACCCCAGGTAAGTGCATAGACATGAATGCATGCATTGGAGAGTATTGGCTGGCTTAGCGCGCGAGCGAGAACGAGAACGAGAACCATACGCAGTATAGGTGTAGGGCCTGCGCTGGACGGTCTTGCAATACTGTTCATATCAGAGCACAGCACCAGATGAGATGGTCTTTTTATGGCTGGGTTTCGCCTCACCGCACTGCTTCCTATTGTGCCTCACCGTGACTGCCTATTCGCCTCTTTCTGTGTGAACATGCAGGCTCCTCTGGCCGCCTTACATGCCTGCCAAGCGATCCACTAGTCACCTTTTCATACCTCCCCTCCTCTACCCTCCCTGCCCTGCCAGTCGCACAACCAACTTCCTGTCTCACACTCATGCTTCCATTGGTTCCTTCTCCTTCTCCCCCCTTCCCCCCCACACAGGCCAACAAGCCTAGACGCTGCCCTCTACGCACATCTCATCTTCGTCACACAGGCTCCTCTGGTATGTGCACACATCATGCATGCACACGTGCACGTGTGGATAGGTGCATTCATGCATACGGGCATAGGTGCATACGAGCACACATGCGTGGGTGCGAAGGTCCTTGAACCTCTTCCACTTCAGTGCACAAATCCCTCCTTCCACCCGTGCCCCAACCCTCCCAGGCCCAGTCTCATTTGAGAATTCTCCAACGTGTGTCTTAGTTGCAGCAGCTTTGCGCGAGTCAAATCAATTCTCGCTCACCTTTCTCCCGTCCTCCGAGGCACACTCTCTGCTGCACTGCAGCAGCTGGTGGCACACGCATGCGGCACGACTCTTTGCATCTGCTTTGTCCCCTGGCATGGTCATGAATCCTCACTCATCCTCTCCTCTGCATCCACTCTCCCTTCCATTCCGTATCCCCTTTCAGGGACAATCCACCCCCACCCCCTCTTTCCCCCATCCACCACTAATCCCCTCCGCTCCCCTCCCCTTCCTCCCGTCCCCTCAGGCGCAGTCTCAGCTGCAGCAGTTCTTTTCGGAGTCAGCTCAAATCTTACCCTCCCCTCCCCATCCCTTCAGGCGCAGTCGCAGCTGCAGCAGCTGGTGCTATCCCACGCGCCGCTTCCAGGCCCAGTTTCAGTTGCAGCAGCTTTGTAAGAGCCGACTCAAAACTCGCCCTCCCTTTCCCATTTCGCCCTGTCCCTTCAGGCGCAGTCGCAGCTGCAGCAGCTGGTGCTATCCCACGCGCCGCTCCGTGCCTTCCTCTCAGCCATGACCAACCGTCTCACTGCTGCCCGCGCTGCGCTGCAAGACGGCTCCGCTGTGCCGCCGCCTCTCTCACGGCCCTTTGCCCCGTCCAGAGGAGCAGGTATGGCGGGAAGGGGAAGGAGCAGGCAGTCTGCTTCGGGATGTGTCGGTGGGTGGTTCTTGGGAAGATTATGGGGAAAAGACGCCGAAGAAAGGGACGTGGGGTGGGAGCCCTTTATGGTTTCTTGAGTGCATGCGTATGAAGGTGCGAGTCTTAGTCCAGAATGACAAGGTTGTCAAGTAAAGTCTAATGATCTTGAGATTGAGCTCTGCTGTGCCACCGCCATTCTCACGGCCGTTTTCACTGTTCAAAGGAGCAGGTACGGTGGGCGGGCGATGCGGGAGGCAGTCGTCAGATGTGCGGGTGGTTGTTGGGAAGCCTGTGGGAGATTTCTTGTCGCTTTTCTTCTGTGCATGCTTATGAAGTTCTTTTGAGAAGACTCAAAAGATGCAGTTCAGAAGGTTGGCATGTTGGATAATATGAAGATTGCCAGCAAATTTTCCAGCAAACGCCTGGTTTCTTGCAGCCTTATCTGGTCTGTAAAAACTTTGTAGCCCTCGCGTCACACAACTACGTTTTGCTTCTTGTTATTCAAAGTCAGGCTTTTGTTTTCCTTTCAACTGCAGCGGTGAGTTTGCTTTGAAGATTCTTATTAACCAACTAGTTCCAGTGTGCATAGAGCCCTTTACAGTCACACTCCTCCCCTTTCATTTGTCTGCCACCCTGTAACAACTCCGGTCCGTCGACTGGTAGCTACGCGACTTCTGAGACGTCTCAAATCCCAACCTCCCCATCCATCCGTCCATCCACTTCCCCTCGCTGTAACCCTTTACAGCAGGCAGGAAGGAGTCTCGTTCAGCTCAATCATCCACCGAAAGCAGCAAGCCACGGTCCACAGCATGGCTGTTCGTGCTCGCACAGGTGGCTGCTATCCTTGGGTACATTGTCGTTTCGTCTGTTTCGCTAGAACTAGGAGAGGATGAGGAGGAGGAGGAGGTTGAGGAGGCGGAGAGGAGTGGGAGGAGGCACGGGGTTCCGGGGAGTGAGAGGGGAGGGTTGAGAGGGCAAGGGGACGAGAAGGAGGATGGTGGTGCTGAAGGGGAGGATGGGGAAGAGGATGGCGATATGGATGATGACGATGACGATGAGTAGGGTAAAAGGGGGGTAAGCGGTAGATTGATGTGGGGTAATCGATATATTATTAATGTGGACTTTGTTATTGACTTATGGATACAAGTATGAATGGTGTAAGGGCGTGTTCCTACGGCCCCTTATCAGGCGAACCTCTTGTCAGATTCGCGTCGCGACGCACTGGAACACATGTAATAACATTCGATCGCACTGAAACGCATGGAACCGCACAAGTATGACAAGAGGTCGGCTGATAAGGGGCCGTAGGAACACGCCCTCAGGATTTTGTTTTTAATCCTTACTGCGTCGCATCTAGGCTCACCTCCTGATTGTACTTCGCCTACCGTATCTCTCGCTCCATCATTGCCAGGCTTCATTGTTTGCTCAGTACCGTAGTTGTAATCACTGTCAACTGTTGACATTTGTTTTAGTCTGTAGTGAGGTGCTGTGTAGTGAGTACAACTCAATTAGGGCGTATCCCTGGCTGGTGGCAGGGCCACTGTAGCTGGCAAGGTTGGTGGCAACTTTCCCAAAAACACAGGGGCCCGGAAAATGCGCATGCCACGAACAGTGCCAGCTATAGTTGCCCTGCCACCACCCAGGGATACGCCCTTAGGCTGTCATGCTTGTACTCCCTTGCCTTCCTACTCTCGACATTCCGTTGCACTCTACTTCTAAGATGGTATCATGAGTAGGTATAGTATCCTAGCCTAGACTAGCCTAGCTCGCACTCTAGCGCCCTCCACGTGCGCCCTGCTTTAGCTCGTCGCGGGCCCCGTGCGCCCTGCTTTAGCTCGCCGCGGGCCTCGTGCGCCCTGCTGTAGCTCGTCGCGGAGCCTCCGCCCGCCTTAGCCCGTCGCCCAGGCCCACGCCCTAGCCCGACGCCCAGGCCCGCGCCCTAGCCCGTCGCCCAGGCCCGCGCCCTAGCCCGTCGCCCAGGCGCCCGCCCTAGCCCGTCGCCCAGGCCCGCGCCCTAGCCCGTCGCCCAGGCCCGCGCCCTAGCCCGTCGCCCAGTCGCCCGCCCTAGCCCGTCGCCCTGGTGCCCGGCCTAGCCCGTCGCCCAGGCCCGCGCCCTAGCCCGTCGCCCCAGCTCGCGCCCTCGCCTAGGCCCGCGCCCTCGCCTTTGCCCTCGCCCCCACCTTAGCCCGTGCCCTACCAACACCCTCGCCAACGGCCGCGCCCTCACCCACGCGCCGCCTCCTCCTAACGTCCCAACCGCCCCTTCTCACCTAGCCACCGCCCTGTCCCCCAGGCTAACACCGTTCGTACTTCCACTGGCTTCTCACCAGTGCCCTAGATATCAGACTTTTTACGCTGATTCAGCGTCCATTCAGACATTTTTTAGGTACCAGGTCTGAACTGTAAGTTTTTTTTAATGTACATTCTCTGATTTGTCAGAGTTTTTTTTTTTATGTAGTGGCTGAAATTTCACACAAAATGTAGGGGTGTAGGCTGAGCCTCAGCCACGTTTCGGGGGTGCACTCTGAAACGGGTACTGCAGGGGTCCGCCAGCCTGGCGGCGTGTTTGCACTAACACCGTCAATCACGGGCGGGAAACGGAACATTTCCCGAGCGCGGCACCGTACCGCACAGTCGCGTTGGGCCAGGGATGCTGTAATCTGGCTCAATTCCAGCCAATCGCTATAGCGCAGCAGGAAGTGTTGGCAAGATTTCCTGCCAACGCATAGCTTGCACCCGGACAACACCACAACCACCCACCCCCCTCCAACGTCTACCGAGCCAACGCATAGCTCGCAGCGCGCTGCAGCTCTCACGTGACCACATCCATCCACCCCAGTCACCCCACCTTCCCTGCACCCACGACCAGGTGCCGTGCATGCAGTGCAGTGACCAGCAAGGAGATGAGCGATCCAAATACGAGGACCCCTCATCTTCCTCATCGTCGCCCTTCGTGGGGGTCACTCCGTGCCCTGTTTCTCTCGCCTCATTCAATTGCTTCGCCAGATAGTATTGCTGGAACCCTTGTTTCTGACTCTCCCTCGCTCTCGCAAAACCAGTGCTCGGCAGACTCATGGCAGCCACAGGCGCTGCCGCCGAATCGCCCGACTATGATGACGAGACAGATCGACGGCCTGCGTCACACGCAGTGACCGGCCTGGACTTTCTACGAGCATGCTTGCCGACGCATGTCCCACCGACTACTCCACCGTCGCAACCTAGCTCTAGCCGTCCTCCAATTTCCGTTCAACCTGAACCTGTCCCCACAGCCATCATTGAACCGGTCGAAGCTGCGCCACAGTCTGTGCCCAATGAGGCGTCCGCTGAAGCACCATCCCGTCCCGCACCACCGTCGAAGCTGCGTTACCGTCAGACCACGTTTCCGTGGGCAACTCCTCCTCCATCGACCGTTGAAGCTCCAACGAGAGTCGAATCTCCCATGCAGGGCAGCTCAAAGCCCACCGACAAGTCTGACTCCGATAAGTTTGAGTTGAAATACGAAGAAGCACACTTTCGTTTTAAAACAAAGTGGTCTACCGATTACGACTGGCTTATTCTAACTAAAACCTCTACCGGTGCCCCAAGTTTTAAGTGCAGCATTTGCCTGGAGTTTGCAGGACTTACAGGCAAGTGTGGACGGGGTGGTGAGGGCGCGACCGACGTGCAGACGCAGGCCTTCAAGAAGCATGAAGGCACGGTGAAGCATCGTTTTGCACTGAAGCGGCAGGAGGACCTCCTCCATAAGTATGGCGATCAACATCGCATCGACCTACACCCGAAAGCGCAGGACAAGGAGATGTTGCAGATCTCGGCGCTAGTGGAGTCCCTGTACTTCATGAGCTCGTGCAACGAGCCCATGGACGCTTGGATTCGGCTTGTGCGCTATCTCGCGAAGAAGAAGGTGCCCGGCTTTCCAGAGCAGGGCTACGGCACGTACTACAACACGTAAGTTTATTGCGGTTGTAACCACCGAATCGTTGATTTCTTCTAACTCACAGTCGCTAACTGCCTCTGGTCTTGTTTTTTTTATACAGGTACGGCTTTGGAGAGTTAACACAGGCAATTTCAACATGGCTCCAAACAACACAGCTGGAACACCTTCTGACGAGCCCCTTCATCGGGATCACCCTGGACGAGAGCACAGACCGGCGGCGCGGCAAACACATGATCGTGTTTGCAACCTTCCTGCGCGACAAGCAAGTTGTGACTGAGTTCTTTGCTCACCTCACGGTTGAGAAAGCTGACGCTGCATCCCTATGTAGTTTGCTGCTCTCCCACATCAGGGCTGTCGGCGTGGACCTCCGCCGTATTTCGGGAGTGAGCACGGACGGCGCGATGGTGATGGTGGGAGTCCACACCGGTGTGGTGGCTCGTCTTCGGATGCTCATCCCCAACCTGGTTTCGTTCCACTGCATCGCTCACAGGTACGTTGTTGTTGTTGTTTTATTGTTTGTTTAGTCGTTTAACAGTAACATACGATGCTAATCATGTTTGTTTGTACGTCTTGCAGGGAGGCATTGGCTGCCAAAGCCGCTGCAGAGTCTATACCCACTTTCAACATGGTGGACGACGTAATCCGTGCTGTCGCTGAGTACCTGGGGCGATCATCACCGTGGCATCAACGGTTCATGGACCTGCAGGAGGTATTTACCTCCACCAACCTCGAGGTGCAGGGGATCCACGAGGTGCGGTGGCTTTCAAGGGGTGTTGCGGTCGCCCGCTTCGTCGAGGTCCTCCCAGCCATCATGGTGATGCTGTCAGAGTGGAAGGACCAGACGATGTACGAGCTCGACACGTCCTACCGGTTTCAGTTTCTGCTTCGGTTCCTCGCGGACGTTCTGGACCTCCTCAACATCCTCTCGAAGGTTTTCCAGCATCGTGAGGTAAGAAAGTTGAGTAATCTTGTGTTTTTCTTAAGCCGGAAACCGTGCTCTAACTAAAACTTCATTATGATGTGGCAGCTCGACTACCCATTGGTGCACACACAGATTGTGCGCACAACATCTCTTCTGGAGAGTCGGTACATCGACTGCGGAGATGACTTCGGCGGCGGGCATAACGAGCGGCTTCATCGATTCATCGAGAAGCATGGGCCGCAGGGGACACCAGAGATGGTGGTGGAAGGCGCGTCGTCGGATGGGAGTCTCAACCGCTTCAAGATCACCCTTCACGAGCGCCGAGTGGCGAACTATCTCGGGGCGGGCCATCACGATGCGTGTGTGGCGCTCTGCACTGACTTTGCCGAGGGCCTCGTCGAGGAGCTTCAGTCTAAGCTCGGAGACCTCGACTCTCTGTCTGGCGTGCGGCTATTCATACCTGACGAGTGGCCTCCGAATTGGGAGAGGAGTGCACGGCAGGCACAGTGGCTTGAGTGGCTGTTGTCGCTAGTCACTCTGTTCCGCGCCGACGACTGCGAAGAGATTTTGCCAGGTCAGTTAGTGAAGTGATGCTCGTTCGACTGTTGGCTAAACCGCTCCGTACTAATCCCTCGCCGTGTCCTATGTCGCAGGCATTGACAAGAAGCGTGCCGTGAAGGAGCTGCAGACTCTGTGCCCAGTCCTGGCCAAAGCCCCTAAGAGCGAGCGCAAGTTCAACACGGGATTGACTGCAATCCTCAAGACACATGACTGGGAGCAAGCCTACCCCAACCTCGTCAGACTCTGGGTGGCGGTTGCAGTGCTGCCTCTCAGCACCGTCGAGTGCGAGAGAGGATTCTCTCGCCAGAATCTCATCAAGACGTGGCAGAGGGGTAGTTTAAAAGACTGTAGGCTCAGTGATTTGCTGTGTATGTCTATGCTAAACTATGAACTGGACGTGCCGGGGGTTGTAGAGATCTGGCGCAGCTATAAGAAACGCCGGCCAGTGGCGGCACCTGCTGCAAGACACAGGGAGCCCCAGAGAGCTGGGAAGGAGGCTGCAGAGGAGCCAGTAGTTCAGCCGGCAGCTGGAGTAGTGTCACATGTGATAGAATCTGATTCAGATAGTTGAAGTGTTTTCAATGTATATAAAACCGGCAGCCTACAAACTTAGTGTAACTCTGAAATTTCAGCCAAAAAAAATAA